TCTGAATTTGGTTTCAATATAATTATATTATTATATTATAATTACTTTATTAGTATATAATATTATATTATTATAACTAATTATTATAATTTTATTACAGGCTCAAATGGAAAATAACTACAACCCGAAGGCCCAATTACAAGTAAAACCCTGAACCCATATTACAACCAGATCCGGTGCACATCCAGACCCGGTACAGACCTAGACCCGGTGCAGACCCAGACCCGATCCAAATAGCCCAGCAGACCTAAAGATAAAACCCTAAATAATGCTAGGGTTTTCACACAATGTTTCAGTGCCCCACGAATCATAGTCATTTGATCCAGAGATAGATCTAACGGTCACCGTGCAACCAGCAAAACCCTAGGGTACTCATTGTAACCCTAAGGCTATTCCGGCGATGCCATAGTGGTATGATACCTCCGTCACCGAATACTTCAACCAGTGCATGCCACGATGCTGTTATATCCTCTCCAGATCGAAGCAATCTAAGTACATTAAATGCACTCAGCCTCTCCACCGCACAACTCACCACCCCTAGGGTGAGTCACCACCATAGCTCCGGTGACTCACCAGGGTTTACCCTTTTAACCAGTCCAAGGAATGACTCGAAGAACCTTATAAATAAGGTGAACCTGCAAACAAGAAAGGAACAGAGAGAAAAAAGAACGAAGCAACCACCCAAATACACAACAATCAAATTACCAAAATATCAAGAAAAAAATAGGAAAAAGAGTTACCTTCGTCGGAAAGCCCAAGAGTCATCGGAGAAGTTGAACTTCGAAGGTATATTTTCTTAGATCTACTGTGATTTAAGGCTATTTTGGGTAAAGGGTCGCCAGATTTGGCTTTAGGAAGAGAAGAGGTTTAATTTGGTATATTCGGGTAAATTCCGGCCACCGTGAGTGGTGGCCGACGAGGGGTATCGGTGTCGATATACGGTGGCCGACAGTTGCCAGATTCCCTCTGGCAAGGGAATCCTAGAGAGGGTCGAGAGCTTTTCTCTCTAAGAGATAGAAGCAATTTGATGAAATGAGGCTTGAAGCCTTTTTAGATCGGTTTAGGGTCTATATATATCCTCCTCGAACGGTGTCGTTTTAGGGAGGGAGTGTCGGTGCATTTTTAGAAATGGGAAAATGCCACCCGAGATCCTTGTAATTATTGTAATCATTCGATTTAGTACCTAAAAGCATGTTTTTGTTCATTCTAATTCAGTTTTCAAGTATTATTTATTTTTATTTTAGTCATTAAATATATATATGCACTTATATTTAGAATAAATAACACGTCTAGTACCTTAAATATTAATAAATTTTACTTTAGTCCCGTATTAGTAAATTAGGGTAACTTACATAATTTTAGTATTATTTCGAACTAGGTTAATTAATTTTAATAATTTATGTTTTAATTATTATTATTATATGATTAATTATTATTAGTATTTATACTTTAGTATTATTATTATACATAATTTATAATTTAATCTGTATAGTTTTAATATCAAATATTATAATTGGATTAGTAATATTTATGTTAAATATTATTTAGTAATTATTTATATTAAGTTATTTGTAAATTTAAAATTAAATACAAATTTGTTAATTTATTGCAAAGACTCTAATTAATAAATATCGGTATCAATTTTGGGCGTTGTGGGGGTGTTAATCCTTCCCCATACGTAACCAACTCCCGAACTCATTTTTCTAATAAGCAGACCCGAGTTGTATTATTTTAATATTATTCTTATGAATTTTATTAAAATAATATGACATTTTGGTGATCAATCTCGCCAAATTAAAATATTGATGGCGACTCTACAACTTGGTGTTTCATCTTATTCAAGGAGGATAAACACTTACTTTTTCGAGACTAGTTACACTCTTTGAAATGTACTATTTGCACTCTCCGTCGCCGGCAGAGAAACGACTCGACAGCTCCAATTGTTAATTGAAAAAAAATTAATATATCGGTTGATGATGATTCACTCCTTCTAGTTTGAACACAGAATCATATTTAGTAACTGAATGACAATCGATCGATTATATAAAGGTATTGGTCAAGATGTATTGAAGAAAAGGAACTTAAAAATCTCTCCTTTTCTTATCTGTTCCTAGAGTTTATATATTGACCGTAAATGGACTCCTTTTACATGCTTATGTTAAGTCTATGATCATGATTGATATGCATAGATCAGCAATAAGTATAAATATAGCCGTTAATTTAGCATGTTTAGTTAGAAATAAATTTTTCGATTTTATCAAGAGTCTCGTTGATGACGTATGCTCTTCGATAAATTTTCTTGAAATTGTTGGTTGTTGGTAGATAGATAAAGAGTGATATTTTTTTAAAAATATCATATACTTTAAAAATTATTCTTTTTTTAAAAAGAAATTATATTTTTTCAAAATGAGGGCATCTAAACATATCAAACTCAAAATGATATATGACAACTTCAATTTTTAAAACAAACGTATTTTATCATGAAAAATATTTTTGAATTTAAAACGTTATTTCAACCAAGATACTAAAATTTTTAATTTAAAATTAAACTTAAAATACAAATAAAGTTTGAAGTTGAGCATGATGATTGAACTTATTTTTATTAGAAAAGAAGTCTAAGGAAGGGTGGATTTACTAAGTCCGTTAGGAGAATTAGGCGTATACTATGTTTTGGAGCAGTTATTAGATTTAATGGAGATTTAGTGTATACTATTTTTTTGGAAAAAGTTATTAGATTTAATGGAGAGCTAGTGTATACTATTTTTTTTGTAGAAGTTGTTAGATTTAATTTAATATGTTAAAAAAATTATGTAATTATTTTTAGAAAAACTTAAAATTTTAGATTTTATTCTTAAACTTTTAGATTCACCTATATAAAGATGTAGATATTAGGTACATCTAAGATATTTCCATCCACGATCTTGAGTAGAAGCTGCTTACTCCACCTTAGTGATTATTAATATTTAAAAGAAGGTTAAAATCTGATTGAAAGAGTCGCTTTGGCCGAGTTGTAAATGCATGAGCCTTCAAAGTACATGGGATCTCCCGCGAGAGGTCGAATCAATGCGACAATATATTTTTAAGTTTTGTCTTTACCTACAAGTTGTACTACTTTTACCATTGGTATTGTGAATAAGCAGCAAGAATCCATATTTAACTCTGATGTTTCATATATTCAGCCCGCCGAGGTAGCAGCATCTAATAGGTTTGAGATTTGATTTCCATCCTTTTATAGTTACAAGGTGTGGTTTCATTTTTACCCCAAAAAAAAGGAATAAGCAATTGTTAGTGGACTGTGTATTGAGAGCATTTTAGTGGAACATGTTATATAAGTTTATATAATTCATCGGCAGATCTCAATTTTGTTTGCTGCTTACCACCTCTGCCAGTGAAGCTGTCTGTAAAACTATCCTTATTTTGTGAGTCAATATTATACCAAAATATCTCTGCATCCTGCCAGAGACTATTTGACGATCAGATAAACAAAGAGACATTGAACGATGATAAGAAGAAACTATAGATAGATGAGACAATTTGATGGAATATGGATCCACATGGTAGGGTTTGCCAAAAGCTAGCCTTTTTATGGATGCCAGAAACTAGTTTTCCATGTTTGGTCATATTGAAGTTGAAACGGTAGATCCATCATCTAATAAAATATCACTTGAAAATTTAACACAGCTTTACTTCGGTCGAGTGGTTAAGGCATGCGCCTGCTAAGTATATGGGATTTTTCCGCGAGAGTTCGAATCTCTCTTAAAACTTTTCAACTTACAAGTTGGGCCCAGGCTTCCTCACCTATACACCTACATGCAATGCAAACTTGGTCAAGTATTCAATACGTACACGTGGATGGCTTTTTATAGCACTGCAAAAGCCCATCTCTCAACTTGGACCTTCAATTCCATCTTTAATTACTTACCCTTCAATTTGACTTGATAAAATATCTATTTTGTAATTCATTTATATAGTCATATTTTTGTTTTAATAATTTAATTATTTTTTTAAATCTTACGTAAGGTAATATTTTATTTTTAAAATTATTATAAAAATAATTATTTAAATTATACTTAAAATTAACCTTTAGTGTCTAATTATATTTAAAGATAACTTTAATGCCTAAAGAATTTATCATTAAAAATAATTATCTATTATTTTCTCCGTTAAACTTTTAGGTATCTACTGCTAAAAATCGTTAAATGTCACATGTCACGTTTATATTTTTTAATAAAATATTATTTAATTTTTTTTAAAGAAAATAGGATAGCGTGGATCAATCCATGACCCTATTTAAAAGGAGCCAAACACAAAGCCACTAAGCTAAGCATACTAATTATCATAATGTCAACACAATTTATATTAGTTTATTTTAACGTACCACTATAAAATAAATGATTTTAGCTGGATATTAGATCAAGCCTGAGACCTTTCGCAAGGATAAACAAATGTTTAGCCATTGAAGACTCTAAGGAACCATATAGGAAGTCAAAGAAAAAGAAAAGATAAAAGAAATCATGCAAAAAAAGAAAAAGGGTGAGACTGCCCAATCATAACCCAATTGTGCCATTGACCCAACCAAACTCACAATTTCGAAATTTCACAAAGTCGTATAATTTTTTTAAAAGAAAAATCTTACATTCAAATTTAAATTCAACGAACTATTGTTTGTTTGATATTTTTATTTATATATTTTCAAATTAAATAAATATTCATAATTTTTTTGAAAAATTATTTTAAATTAAATTCGAAACTTAATTCAGAGTAATATCCCTTAACATTACATGTACGCTTGGTTGACAATTTATATTTATAATTACATAAAATAATTTCATTCATTGTATCTAATAAACAAACCCTAAATTATTTTCAAATTACCCTCAACTTGGATCCGTCCGCCTACGTGTGGGAAATTATTGACTTTGATGAATTGAATTTTGAAACGCGTAGAGACGGTCCAAAGAAGTATCCCTCGCCTCGCATGTTCTTTTCCCCTTATAAATACTCATATTCAATAGCCATTGTCCTCCGTTCTCATCTCCTGGTTTCCAGTGAGATCAACCCTAGCTCCTACTGATCTTACTAGCTTCATCTCTTTTCTTATTTGTTTTCTGAATCGTAATTCTTTTTTCTTCATTGGCTTGTTGATCTGCAAACGAATTTTGGTAAAGAGATTAGTTTTTGCAAAATCAGAGTTCAGCTTTTGTTTGAGAGAATCGAGATGGGAGTCAAAGGTTTCGTGGAAGGAGGAATAGCCTCAATCGTGGCCGGATGTTCCACCCATCCTCTTGATTTAATCAAAGTCCGAATGCAACTCCAGGGTGAAAACCACGTCCCCAATCCGGCAGTTCAAACTCTCCGACCTGCTTTAGCCTTTCAAAACACCTCATCTGCGGTCCACATCCCACCTCCGCCGCCACCCGCAGCAGCGCGTGTCGGTCCAGTCGCCACCGGTATCAGGATCTTCCAGACCGAAGGCGTGGCTGCTCTTTTTTCTGGCGTATCTGCCACCGTCCTACGCCAGACCCTCTATTCCACCACCCGCATGGGACTCTACGACATCCTCAAACAGAAATGGACCGATGAGGAGACGAAAACAATGCCTCTCTCCCGTAAAATCGGCGCCGGATTAATCGCCGGAGGGATTGGCGCTGCTGTCGGGAACCCAGCCGACGTGGCCATGGTTCGGATGCAAGCCGACGGACGCCTCCCCGTATCCCAACGCCGTAACTACACCAGCGTGGTGGACGCCATCACTCGCATGAGCAAACAAGAAGGCGTGACCTCCTTGTGGCGTGGCTCGTCGCTAACCGTGAATCGTGCGATGTTGGTGACGGCATCGCAGCTGGCTTCCTACGATCAGATCAAAGAAACGATTTTGGAAAATGGGTTGATGAAAGATGGGCTCGGGACACACGTGGCGGCGAGTTTTTCAGCGGGGTTTGTGGCGTCGGTGGCGTCGAATCCTGTTGATGTGATCAAAACAAGGGTCATGAACATGAAGGTGGAGCCCGACCAGAAGCCGCCGTATGCCGGAGCTTTGGATTGTGCCATAAAGACGGTAAAAGCCGAAGGACCTATGGCGTTATACAAAGGGTTTATACCCACAATCTCAAGACAGGGACCATTTACGGTGGTGCTTTTTGTTACCCTTGAACAGGTCCGGAAATTGGTAAAGGATTTCTAAGGTATTAAAAGATGATGAAAATGAATTTTAGGAACCGTAAGTTAGGTAATTGTTTTCCAGATTGATGAGGTTAAAACTTAATATCCATGGAATTGTAAGAAAATGGTAATAATGTCTTATTCTATTAATGATACTTTTATCTTGATGTTAGTGTAGTGCGCTCTTGGTGGGGTTTTGATTTTCAAGGCAATTGCCTACTACGTTTTCCAAATTAACAAATGGCCTAATTATAACAAGTAGATGGCCATTGTAAACTTTCTAGACCAATTAAAATGTAGGGTATATCACCTAAGCCTTAAGGTGATCTATCTACCTCGATAAGCCAACCGGGTCGAACGTTCGCTCGCACATTGAAATTTAGGTGGCGTTTGGTTAGATGGAATCCCTTGGGATTGGTGGGAATTGGAATCCAATTCCATCACTTTCCCATGTTTGGTTCAAGTTTTTCAAGGGAATTAGAACCCATGATGGAATTCAATTCCATCAAATGAGGGAAAGTGAATTCCATCCAAAAATGGATGGAATTCAATTCCCTTGTTAGAGAGAATTGAAATTTGATCATACTACCATCATCAATCATTCGGTAACTTATTCATATATTGAATAAAAATATTTTTTTATTATTTCGGGTCTGGTCGGGTTCCTAATTCATGTATTCGGGTCGGGTCGGGTGAAACTTTATTTTGGTCGGGTCGGATCGGGTTTTTTTAAGTGTGATATTCGGATCGGGTTCGGGTTTAGGGTAAAAAAACCGTACCGACTTGAAAATATATATAATTCAGGTCGGATCGGATTAAGTCACTATTTTTATTAAATAAAAATAATTTTTTATTATTTCGGGTCGGGTCGGGTTGGATTTCTAATTCATATATTCAGGTCGGGTCGGATGAAACTTTATTTTGTTCGGGTCGGGTCGGGTTTTTTAAGTGTGATATTCGGGTCGGGTTTTTTTAAATGTGATATTCGGGTCGGGTTCGGTTTTAGGGTGAAAAAACCCGGACCGACCCAAAAAAATATATAATTTTACCTTATATATTTATGAATAATTACAATAATACTCCTCTATATATAATTTTTTTCAATTAAGTTAATGTTTTTATTGAATAAAAATATTTTTTTTATTTTGAGTTGTGTCGGGTCGAGTTTCTAATTCATATATTGAATAAAAATAGTTTTTTGTATATTTTTTGTAACTAATTAACATACTCTGATTGGAATGTATCGAAATATTACTCTATCTTTTGGTAACTTATTAACATATTTTGATTGCGATGATTTTAACTTATAATGTTTATTAACATGATTTTTATAATTTATTGAAATAAATAATCAATCAATAAAATAAAATTTTAATATTTTTTAATTTTTTATAATATATTACTACATGTAAGTTGTGAAATAAATTAAAATAAAGCAAAAAAACAAGAAGGGCAATTCTGTCATTTTACATTACTGAAATCAAATTCATCTGACATGTATGCGAACCAAACAGAATATGGAATTGAATTCCAATTCCATTTTCTGCCAACCAAACAGAATATGGAATTGGATTCCAATTCCTACAGATTCCAATTCCTTCATAGATTCCAATTCCCTCATAAACATTCCAGCAAACCAAACGCCACCTTAGGGGCGTAAACGAGGCGAGTAGAGTTCGAGTATTGTTGAGCTTGACTCGACTCAAAAACTTTAAAATGAAACTCAACTCGACTCGAAAAGTCGAACTCGAAATCATGAACTGAATCTCGTGAGCAGCTCAAAAAGGCTCGTAATGGAAAAAATCTTAAATTTAACTCGATTGAAGCTTCAAACTCAAACCTGAACCTTAAATACATGAAAATATTATTGTATTTAAAAAATCAATACATAAATATTAATATTATTAATAATTTATTTAAAAAGAATAAAACCTTTATATATTATATTTTTGAGCTGCTCACGAGCCTTTCGAGTCGAATATCAAGTAGCTCGTTTCGGCTCGTTAAGAACTCGAGTCGAGTCCATTCGACCCAAGTATTTATCGAGCCTTGATCGAGTCGATCTCGAATAGCTCACGATTTGTCTCGTCTCATTTACAGTCTTATTGAGACTTACTGAGGATCAATTCCCTGTGGTTTTATTTTGACGAACCAAAATGTATAAAAAAAAACTATGTAATCCTTAACGTTACTGGTATTTAAATATATTTTCCATTTCATAAAAAAAACTATACATCTATTATTTAATTTTTATTTTAATCATTTAATTATTATTTTTAAAGTATATATTTAGTCATGTCTTTAAAAATTTAATAGTAAAATATGTAAATGGTTCTTTGACTATATGATAATGTTTTATTGAGTTCATCGAGTATTAAAAGTTATAAAATTATCTTTCAACTATAGGAAGTTACTTTGTTGAGTCATTCGACTATTAAAAGCTATAAAATGATCACCCAACTCGTATTCTTTATTAAAAATTGATTACAATTTGAATTGAACGTTAACATGTGATTAAGATATGATAGTCATTTAAGACTTCGAGATCATATTTTATCATATCACGGCTAGTATATTAACATCCAGCTGGAATTGTCATCATTTGTTTTAATGAAAAATGATGAGTTTGAAACATATAAATAATTGGGTGACAATTTTATATCTTTCAAACTCAACAAAGCAAAGCCTTATAGTCAATAGATCATTTTGTAACTTTTAATAGTCGAATGACTCAATAAAGTATTGCCCTTTAGACAAGAGACCATTTATATACTTTACCCAAAAATTAATTATGATACTAACATATCACCATAACATTTTGTCACATCAATAATAAATATATAATAAACCATATGATCAAAATAGAATTAAAATATAACGTATTTGAAAAATAATAATAGTTGGTGTATACACACCATTTCGTCCCATGCCTTTATAATATATTATATTAAAAAAATTATATTATATTATTTTTTTTTGTTACACGTTTCAGGCCCAACAGTGTACAACACGAACAGGTGACCCAGTAAACCCTAGACGGATGCCTTGCTCCAGCCATCCTCACCAGCGCCGCATGAGGTCAACACCCGTGTCTGGATTTCATGCAACAAGCCCCCCGAAGACCCTTTGTTCTTCGCACCTCCCACGGCAGCACGACTCTCGTCTCCAACGGTCTCGAAATATCCTGCAACAAACAACCCAAAACAGCCGAAGCATTTTGAGTCCAAGTAGGACTCTAAATCTGAGTTAAAAATAGGTTTCTTTAGACTATAAATAGACTCATGCATCAAGAGGAAATGACACAGAGAAAAACATGGAACCAAAATCAGAGGAAGGGGCAACGATTTGGAAAAATTGAGGGAAGAAAAGGATAAAAAATAAGCGTGGAGGATCCAAAGCCAGTATCTAAAAGCAGGAGGAGTAACAGAGCATTTTCATTGCAAATCCAGTTTTTCTACACGCAAAACATGGGAGATGTAACAACTTTTGACTTATTCTTTTTATTTATTTTTTTATTTATTTACTTTATATATATTTTTCATTTTATCCTAATTTTAATATTTTTATTTCTTTTTACATTGTTATATATATATATATATATATTTCATTTTTCATTAATATTAATATATTAATATTTTTTATTATTATTTTCTCATGTTTATTTTCATATTTACAATCCAACACTTTTGACTTTTTAGGGATACTTTCAATCGATCAAAGATAATTAATTCGAATTAAATTTTGAAATTTCAATTTAAATTTTGATTTTCGCGATTAAGACAACCGATGAATTAATTGGTACCGAAAGGGTGGTTCAAGGGTGTTAATCCTTCGTTGACCGTAACCAACTCCCGAACCCAACACATTCTGGTACAACACAGATTAGGTAAGATGGTGTTCGACCTACCTAGATTCGTTTTAAATGGTCGGTGGCGACTCCAATTCATTTAATCCAAGTCAAAGCCCAATTCGGGGCCAACCGAAATACGGTTACGAAAGCTTGGCGACTCCGCTGGGGACATAGGTAAGTGAGTCAGACTAAGGTAATTTCCAGTTGTCTTTTTAACGAAAATGATAAGTTTAACTTTTAAGGTAACATTTCGGTCCTTATTACTTACTTTTGATTATATTTTCGAGTAAATAGTTGTACTAACCGTTTTCTAATTATTTCAGCATTCCAAACTCGTTTTTCACTTGAGGCTCTAAACCCGAGCTTCGAACCCGTTTTTAAGTGGGGGTGAATGCGACGCCTTCGTGTGAATTTATTCACCGTATGGGCCTAGCAAGTAACCTTCAGGATTCATATACCTTATGCCTTCGTGTGAGTTTATTCTCCGTATGGGCATAAGGGAATGTGTCCTCTCGAGTTTAACTTAGTTAACACAAGCTTATAATAGGCTTAGGACTAAGGGTCTGGCAAGCCCAAGGGGGCACGGGCAAGGAGAACTCGGGTACACTTTTTTAGAACCTAAACCGAGAGAGTACAGGGAATTAAAGCCCATCCCAAAACCTCATTCCAAACCCTAAGTTACTTTGTTTCCTGCCTTACTTTCTGTTCAAAGCATGTGAACTAAACAAATAAGCGGTTAGGATTTGTTTGAAATTAGCATGCGAGATAGATATCATGTCCATGTAGGAATTAAAGCATGTGGGGTAAACATCATGTGGGGTAGGACTTTTATTTTTCATGATTATTTTTTATTATTTTCACCTCACTAACTCTTTTCATTTTTATTTTTTTTATTTTATTTTCATCACTTCCATCATTTAAAAGAGGTGTTGATCCACCAAAAATGTGTTTGTTAAACATGAATATCTGCATTAATAGACAAAGGGGTTGTAATACAAGAGATGAAAAATATAAAGGACAGTCTACAAGGTGACTATGTGTCGCATTCAATCCAGAAGACGTGGTACCACAATTGAAGAGTGTATCACTCTGCTGCATTATAAAGGACTCAGAATGAACCGGGTCTACATCAAGCACAATGAAAGTCTATCTTTGAATAACTGACTGGCAGAGGTTGCAGGGGCAAG